GTCTTCCTTTCGCCATAGTCCGGTATTCCACATTGCCTGCGCTCTCCATAATACCTCCCGCTTTTGAAAGTTGGACAGCATACTCATCTACTTTGCGGGGTCCAAGATTAGTTCCTTTGGCGGCTGCGTCTTTCGACAGGTCCTCGAAACGTTCGACGGTATTGACTGACCGTCGACCTTGGGAGTCAGCATCTCAGAGGTATCACATAGCAACGCGAGTGTAACTTGACCGTCCGTGGTGAATTTACACCTGAGCTGGTTCGCATGTCTTTTGATTTTCCCAACTGTTGTCTCCAAGACGAACACAGCGCCTGTAGATTTGTTTACTACATTCTGTACGCAGGACTTCTATCCGGCATTGCATTTGCGAGCAACTACCTCGTCTCCTTCCTGAAAGTAGTATTTTGCCGGTTGGGGAACTCGGTCTTCTGGTTTAAGGTATTGCAATCGGGAATCCAGCCGTCGGACAAAACATTCTCGGCTAGTATTTGGCCGACAAGGTTACTTTTTGAGGTCGTTATATAGGGGAAAAGGAGTGTGTTGAAGTAGTGCATTTTAACGCCTGTGGTTCACAACTTTTTCATCGCCTCCTTGAACGTTCCGACGAAATGTTCTATTTGGCTGTTAGATTGGCTATGAAATGACATTGACGTCGCATGTCGGATTCCCAATTTCTGGCAGAGTTGTTCGAACAGTGATTATGTAAACTGGGTGCCGTTATCCGTCTCAACAGCCGTGCGGATGCTATATCCTGAGACACCAGAACTAGACATTCTGTGCAGCGCATCAAACGTTTATGTAGGTGCCTAAGCACTTTGGCAGCGCTTTGTACAGAGGCCTGAAATAACTATCGACAGCCCTGCAAATAAAACCCTCTTCAGTAACATAATAAAGTTTATGGGATGTCTTTAGTCGTTTTTAAATCATGCCAATCGGAAGGAGTAGGGAATCGTGATCTAACGTTCACGGGTCAGAAGACAACTGAAGCCTGGAAATCGAATAAAAACGCACACGCCCGACAGACCGACCTTCCGTCCTAGCATAGCGAGCTCTGCGTAGGCGGCACTGCCAGTTGATTGGCTAACGTGCCCGAAAACTGCCGTCGACCTGGTTGCTGCCGTAATCCCTAACGGCTGTCGGCTGAGCGAGATGGAGAGATTAGATAGATAGTCTAACGAATCTTCAGTAAATATTCCATCGTGCAAAATCGGATGGTGTTTACTCTTGCCAATTCATGCCCGCGCATAATGTTACCAAAGATAAGACCTTCGCTTTGCCTCAAACTCTTATTACTCCCTTCCAGATCGTACTGGGTCCGGTTCTTATTGAGTAAAAATCTGCAATCGGCGTTCCACTTTTTGCAATACCAAATGTCCGGTATTCTGATGATGCATTTGTTATACATGTTGCTCTTGTGTGCTTAAAAGTATTCCTCATGGGCATTTTCGTCTGACTCCCATGCGCCTGACCTAAGACATAGTTTGGCTGAGCTACAAAGTGTTTGCACAGTCAGCTGTTATTATTTTCCAGGACAGAAAGGCGTGTTCAGTAGTCAGATACAGAACCACGAAATCCAAAATATTCCGCGGGCTTGAAGCATATTCTGTCGATCGTCAGAATATCCTAGTTCATATCGACTTCTCTGTGATCTGTTTCTAGTGTGGCAGGAATTAGCAACTAGATTCTATTTCACTCAGAAAATGCCTTTTGATGTTGTCTTTGTTTAGACTTTACGAATTTTCTTTGCTGTTTTTAAATATATATATTAAAACTGATAAAGAGAAGGCTCTTCGGAATAATCGAGTTGTACTCGTAAATTTTCAAGTCAGTGACACCGACCCATCGTCAGACGAAATGAACAGAGGGAAAGTGAAATCGGCAGACCAGGTCGGCTGGCGCGACAGGTCAGACAACGACAAACAGACGGCTGATGCGTGAGAGGGGGGGGCACCGAGTTATGGTAGGCTGTGGGGCAGGGGGAGGGAAGGGATAACCGTGAGGCTCCCTGTGTTGGAGGTAGAGAAAACGCAGGGGGATTGCGGATCAGTGGGAATGAGGGCGGCTGGTCACTGATGCGGGATGAGGTCAGGGGGCAATGAGCCGGCGTTAGAGGTGTTAGGGGTTTCGGTTGTTGTTCACCGTGTCACAAAAGGAGGGGGGGCGGAATGGCGAAACAGCATGACGTATGCGTCATACGTTGAATGGTGGTAGAGAAGGCTTTACGGATGGGGTTACACACAGGACAGAGGGCATTGAAAATAGATAAATGTATACCCTACGTCTTGTCGTACGCTGTCATTTGGCAAAGAAAGTGAACGCGATAAGCAAAAAGTAAACAAAGAGCAATTTTCAAAAGTAACGGACATTGAATAAAGCGTCGCTGGTTAGTTTACATTTAGTCAACAAGCGAGCGAAATTTCAGACAATGGGAACAGTGAATAAAAGGTGATGTGTACGGTCACACCAAATTTTAGGGTATATTTTTGGTAATCTTCACCAAATTTAATTTTTGGAACTGTAATCTACTCGGGGGTCTTGCACCCTATCGTTACCCTAGGTGGTTATTGCGACTAGCTGATATGATTTTTCAAAACAGAGGAGCATTTTCAGCATTTAGATATGGAGACTACGAAACGCCTTCGTACAGTATTCCCTGAGCTTGAAGTATATTCTCAGTCGAACGGTAGCATGCCCAAGTTCCTATCGACTTCTGTGTGACTTGTGCCTGGAATTAAAAACTCCATTTTAGTTCTCTCAAAAAATAACTTTTGAAGTAACATTCGCTTACTTTCGTTGAATTCTCCTTGCGTCTTCCTAAAAATCTTTTGCAATTTTTGAGAGAGCATCCGTGCAGAGAACTTGTCCTATATAAAGAACTGCAGGTCTTTGAGGTCAAGGCCTTTGTTTGGTCAATAGCTATATTTCTGTAAGACCGAAGAAGCTCCCTGAGAATAAAATACAATTAAATTCCACAATCCCACAAATGTTGCCACTGGGCATTGGAATCTCTCGGTGCCATGGATTACAACTCGAAAAGCAGCAGATTCCAGTCAGTTTAAACAGATGATGGAAATCAGGGAACAGAAGGCTAACTTATAAGGAGGGCTAGCTAGACTGCAGGTGGGAGAGACTGTTTGGTTTTGGTTCGCCATAAGAGCATGAGGAGACAAATCGATGTGTGGGGAGTCCCGTGGGCGGAGGCCCATACTGTAATTGAAAGGGAGGGGCGCTCACCGATCGCTTCACTCGCTCCGTTTCGACCTGTGACTCAGTCTCGAGTCCCGCCAGCCGCCACCAAGCGGCGGAATGGTGTTACCGACAAATTCATTTGACTGAATTGTGAAAAGCTCTGCGGTCTCAGTGGGGTTCAAACCGGCTACAACAAGGACAACGCTCTAACCACCTAAACTACGGGCCCCCACCGCCAGCTGTGAATTTAATCAGACTTGGGTCAATTTATCCACCCAGCCTACTGCAAACTATGGAATCCACCAAATCTGATACGGTAAGCTGACTGCCCAGGCAGGATTTACTAAATGGGCCTCGTAGATATTTGGTGAGTTCTTGACTGATTGCTTGGGAAATTCTGCGCGAAACGTCTGCCTATTTTATCAGATATGGCGATTTCCATACGTTGTAATACGCTGGGCGGGTAACTTGATCCAAGTCTGGTTAAATTCCCTGTTCTCGGTGAGACCTCGTAGTTAAGGTGGCTAGAACGCTGGATGTATTCGAGCTTTACTTTTGCTGTCTTAGCGTAGAATCTAACCAAGGCAACCCAAATTTTCATGAATAAATTATTCAAGTCTGTAGAAACATTAATTAATTACCGACAGAGACACGGGAGACTGCAGTGACCATTGCTGACTTATTAACCGTCATCAGCCAACCATATCCAACTTCAGTTTTTGCAAGGCTAGTTGATAACGACTAATATGCCAGAAATAGTCACTCCAGCCTTTGCTTTCTTGGTCGGTAATGTAGTTCCATCCATGCTGTAGCTGTGCAGTCACTTCAGTTGGTGAGCGTTGCAAAACCCTACGCTGACGAGTATTGGCATCCGTAAGTAAACTGTCCAACGAAGAAATGACACAGGTGAGGTCAAAAGGGTCTGACAGTTTAAACACGATTACGATGGCAACAAACATCTATAAACAATGCACGGACATCGAGAAGCCTGACGCATACTTCAGCCAGATCTCATCTGTCGTGGTCGGCGCGACTGCCGCACACCAGTAGTCCTATTTGTCCCGTAGGCAGCCCAGGCTAATTCGGATCGTTTTCTCACAAAAATCGCGACCCATAAGCGAATCCGACAGCCACCTGGGGTGACTAAGCAACCCTACCTGCGGGCAACAGTATTTGTGCTCTCACTGTTTAAACGCGCTGTCGGCAAGTTGTCTTCGCTTTGTGTACGCAAAAATGCGGACAAAAACTACAAAAACCAACGATCCATGTCCCCATACCCTTGCGCATTCATCGGCTGATACCATCACACTGCACACGAATGAGGGTGAATAAATGAAAGAGAAGAAATTATCGAGAGCCGGAACCAGTTGTTAATTATTTTGAGCTTTCATTTCCGGTTATAGACTCTGGTACGAGCTTGGAAGGTAGGAAAATCGACCACATGGTCGTGGCCCCCAACCTATTTTCTTTATCTTTGCTCACGACACTGTCTGGAATGTTCGCCTTCAGATAATGCAATGAGATGTCATCCGGAAAGGGTGACAACTCTGGTCGACTACAACTGGCCCGCTAAAGACTGGACATTGCGGCTCTTAGGGTGACTCGTCTCTCTGGACGGACGAGGTGGGCGCCGACTACACCTTCTTCCGGAGAGGACGTTCAAGGGGACAACGACGAGAAACCAGAGTCGCCTTGGCCGTCAGGACCGACAACGTGAGGCGTATGCCCTGCTTCCCGCAAGGTTCGAGAAGCCGCTACATGTTCGTGAGGCCTCCACCCCCCACAAACAAATTCGTCCCCGTTGTCCGCGCCTACGTCCCTCTTCGAGGCGATCGACTTCGATGACGTGAAGAACAAGTGCTACGAAGATGTGCAATCCATCCAAGCCACTGTGCCGAAGGCGGACAAACTGCCTGCCCTGGTGGCTTGAATGCCTGCATCGGCACAGACCACGTTGGGCGTGAGGGCGTTCTTGGACGCCGGAGACCGCAACTGCAACGGCAATGGTTTTGTGCTCCCACAAGCTCGCGAGGAACAGTCTCCTGCTCATCCTCCTCCTCCTCCTCCTCCTCCTCCTCCTCCTTCTCCTTCTTCTTCTTCTTCTTCTTCTTCTTCTTCTTCTTCTTCTTCTTCTTCTGACCAACATCTTTCTCTGTCTCCTGATCCGCCAGAAGGCGACATGAATGTCCTCTCACCTACGTCACTCCTACCTGTTGGATCATGATGTTGTTTAGGGGCGCGGCCCAACTTGACATGCTCGTGACTAGGGGGATGTGCAGTGCTGACTGGTTGATGGATCGCCGCCTTCAAGATGAGGTTGTAACGACAACGACGCAGGTGACCGCAGGGCAAGTTACAGTGCGTGACCGATCTCATGAAATATTGGCGAAAATCGGGGAATACATTTTCGATTAGGAAGGATTACTTAGGTGGGGTTGTAATATTGATTAGTATGCAGCATAATTCTATAGCATTTAGGACTCGCCAGGATGCCGGCTTTTGAATGCACTTTTTGACCTCCTGCAACAAACACACTTGGTAAAAAATGACTACTTAATTCTCTCGGTTTTTTTTCTATTGATTGTCGATGGTCTTATAAATTTAACTACATTTCATAGAAAACATGTACAAAAATATGCTTTCTTACACATTTTATTCGTATTTTGTGCCCAAAGAAAGTGTATATTTAGGTTTCAAAAAATTTCCTAATAATGAGATTGTTCGCGACCGTGCATTGTCTATTCATACAGCATTGTAACTGTCCTTTTAACAATGTTCCTCAGGAATTGTACAACACAGTCCGGGTCCATCACAACATTTCATGAACTCTATATGGTATCTTCTAAAAAAGCATAGGGGAATATATGATTTTCCTTACGCGGAAAGCATGCACCTTGTAGACTGAAATCGCCAACCGCTACTGCAATGGTAGACCAGGCTCAAAATTGTTCGGGAATTGAGAAACTTTTTCTAAATCTAAATATACACATTCGTTGGGTACAAAATATGGAAATAATGTAATTTTCTACCATAGTAGAGAAGGAAAACATATTTTTATGCATGTTTTCTATAAAATATATTTGAATTTATAAGATCATCGAAAATCATTAGGAAAAATGAATGCTTATTACGTAGTCATCTTTTGCTAAGTACGGTTGCTGCAGGAATCAAAAAAAAGTGCATTTAAAAGCCGTCATCCCGACGCGTCCGAAATGCTGTAGAATTATGCTGCATATTAATCAATACTACAACGTCACCTAAGTAATCCTTCCTAATCGAATACGCATCCCACGATTTCGGCCAAAATTTCAAGAGATCGGTCACTCACTGTAAGTACAGTACTACTTGATACGGCCGAATGGCGATTGAATGGTAGCAGGTACAAAAACTCTAACCTGGAGCAAATGCAAACTCCATGGGCACATACCAGTATTTGATGCCAGTGAATGCCGCAACGGAGGCCGTCAGCGGCAAACGTCATAAGTAACAGGATTGCTTTGGTGCGAATGACGAAGAAATCCGTGCGCTCATCTTCGTCAAACCCCCAGTCCACACACACACAACCTTCACCGCCAACAGCAGCAGCGCCAATAAAAACGCATAATTCCAGTGCCGAAGGATAATGCAATAGTACCTGAGGGAGATACAACATGACTGATTGGCCCACAAAACTGAGGAGATCCAAGGATATACCGATCATGATTAGATGAAATGTTTCAGTAAGATGTGGTAATGCAGCCGCACCTGATAAACGCAGTACTGTTGACCTACTTACTTATTTTGAGCTGGTGTGATTACGTTGGCATGATACTGCTATGTGTCGCGGTGTGCGTTCTGTTGGCAGCCTTGTTTCTTTTTGCCGTGTCTACCTGCTCTGACCAAATACCGGGGGTGTTTCTTGACTCTCCTACTAACTTTTGCATTGGATGTTTAAGGTTAGGATTTAGGGCTGCGGTTAATGGTTAGGGTTAGGGGTTAGGGCTAGTGGTTAGAGTAACTATTTCACAATCACTCAAAGTACAACCGAGCATTCCCAAGAGCTTTTCTTTTGCATACAGCTACTTGACCTCCTCGGCAGCGCGTTTCCCGGCCCGACCTGTAAAAACCCCTATTACCGCCGGCCGCGTATTACAGGCGGTTGGCGTTTGTTTACTGCCGGTGGGTCTACATAACCACATCTGACCTAAATGGCTCCTGTAAATGAAACTCTATTACCCTCCCAGTGGACAGTTGAAGGAACACATTTGAGCGTACGAACATCGATCGCATTTGCATCTCAAGGCAAAAATACGCTGGCGTCTGACGATAAGGGGACTAGGACGGACAATACATCATCAGAAATAGTGAACAGTGCTGGGAGTTCGGCTGTCAAGTCAGAGTCAAAATGACCGAGGCGGATTCGGGCGTAGTGGCTGAAAAGGCTGAACGACCCGCCTGTGCGCGCTTCGCACGGCCTGGTCCGAGCACAATGAACCAGGTTTTCACAAAAACTACGAACGGCTGAATGGGATCACAACGGAGTGGAAGTTCCACAAAGAAAGAGCTATTGTAGCCTGCCTCTCCATCCTGAGGGCACTGAGATTTCCCATCAGCTGGAGATCTTCAAAGGTTGGGGTTTACGGCTGCGGTAAGAGGTTAGGGTTAGGGGTTAGGGCTCAAGGTTAGGGATAGTGGTTAGGAGTTAGGGTTGGAGGTTAGGGTTAGGGTTTAGGGATATGGATTAAAATAACTATTTGTCAACTACTCAAAGTAAAACCGCGCATTCCCAACAGCTTTTCTTTTGCATACAGCTACTTGACCTCGTCGTCCGTGCGCTCCGCGGCCCGACCTCTAAAAACCCCTATTATTGCCGGTCGCATATTACGGGTGGCTGGGGTTTGTTTACCTCAGGTGTGGCCACAAAAAAGCGCATCTGACCATTGTTCCCCGTCGCTACCCAGCCAGAGAAACGTATAATGTCTGCTAGAGAAATCACACGTTCAGGAGCACAAGGCCCTGTAATTGCGGAGGGGCCATAATTACCCGTCGACCACATGCGAATTAGCCATTAACCAACTTTCTCCACTGAACAACAACAACAACGGCAACAGCGACCTCCCTAGTCTACCCCCTCCTTTATCGCCACAGCCAGAACAGGGCAATAGCCGTCCAATGGAAAGGCACGGGGAAATGACGCAATTTCAGTCGAAGTTCACAAGTAGTTCGGTCCACATCTGGTGGAAAACTTACTCTATTGGCGACAAGAACACAGCTCAAGACCTCGAGAATGTCACAATAGCGCACATCTGTAGTGAGGTGCCGGACTAATTTACCTTTGACAATTTAGTCCCGTTTTCTATGCCTGAATTGCATGTTTGAATGTGGCGAAAAACAACACACCTGAACAACCCGCTTTGCTGGCCTGCTTAACTGTCGCGCTCTGTTGTCAGTTTACTTAACGTTCAGAATTTCTGTAGAATTCACCGGTCGATTTTACTTGCTGCCTTTACTGCTAAGGTTTCGTGAGATATAGCTCGTTAGTTTGTAAGAACACTACCATATACGTCACATCTACAAACGCAAGGAGAACCGAAATCCTCGGTGATAACCACGGAGGCATCTGCCTTCTCCGCGTCGCAGGGAAAATCTTCGTTCTTCAATCGCCTACAGTCGCATCTGGAGCGGGGACCTCTTCCAAAAACGCAGTACGGAATCCGAAAGCATAGCAAAACCACAAACATGACTTTCGTGGCACGCTAAATACAGGAAAAGTGCCAGGAAGTGGGGACCAACCTCTGCATCACCTTTGTCGATCTGAAGAAGGACAGCGTTCACGACCTATTGTTTGCAGATGAATGCGCAGCAAACGCCACAATGGTAGAGGACATGCAACGAGATATGACCCTCTTCGTCTCCGGCAGCTCCGATCTAGGCCTGACTATCAGCACAAAGAAGGCAGTGAGTCTGCAACGAACGCCACCAAATGTTGACTCTACCAAATCGCATATCACGGTCAGTGAAATTCATCTCACAAAAGTAGGGAAATTTGCCTGCCTTGGGAGTGCAATTTCAGAAAAAATCAAAGTCGACGATGAAATCGAAAGTCAGGTCTCCACAGCCGACCAAGCACTCGGCTTGCTAAGGCAATCCCTTTGGGAACAGTCGTGTCATCTTACACACCACGAAATTAGAGAAGTAAAAAGCTGTTGTATTGATAACACGACTGAACAGGATGGAGACTTGGACTGTGCCTGCCAGTGGCCGGAAAGACTCACAGGCACTGAGATCCTAGGAAGAAATGGCATTCTCAGTATCCACACCACGTTGAGACAGATACAACCGCGAAGGGTGGTAGGCATCTACCCGAGTGGTTATCCTACGCGACGTTGCTACAGGTAGTCGCAGACAAGACAAATAAAAGCATCACCGCAAAGACGCCCTGATGACCCCCTTAGGCGCCTGCAAAGCAGTTTGGAGATTTGGAAGGAGCTCGGACAAGATCGATAGGCATGACGTGCTGTCGTAAAGACCGGACCAGCCATCTGTGGAATAGCCGCTGCCAAGGTAAAAAGGGAGACTAGCAAGACTTGAGTGCTAGGAACTAGTCATGTTAGCACACAACCCCTACCATTGCGTCCACACACTCAAGTAACTTCCGGGCATAAATCGATCTGATTGGACTAGGTTAGTGGCAAGCGTCGCGAAAGCTCGAAGCCAATCAACGCTGTTCCTTTGTT